TGAGAAAAGAGAACGTGAGAATAAGAGAGATGACATTTATATTTTCGAGGTGGAGGAAAAGGAAGAGAGAGAGAGAGAGTGAGGGAGAGAGAAAGAGAGAGAGAGAAGAGGGAAAAGAGAACGATAATTACAGATGGATGAAAAGTGGAAAACAAGAAAATATTAGGTGATCTAAATTGATTTAATACGGAGGGAAATACTCAATTAATTATACACACTTTTTTCGAAATGAAAAATTTGTGTCACAGGCGGGATTCGAACCCACGACTTTCGGCTCAATACGCCGCTGCTCTACCACTTGAGCTACCGTGACTTCGATCGCCCATGCCACAAACTTCTCATTTCGACTACCCGATTTTATTCTAATTTAACGGAGGGAAAGTTAGAAAACGGCATATAGGGTGAATGGTATGTAGAGAAAGAGATAATGTGGAAATTGTAAAATGTACAATGTACATGGATAGTAAAGAATGGCCGGATGAATTGAAAAGCAGAGTCTTGCTTGCCTATTTATTCTATTAATTTTTCGAGAAAACCTTTCATTTAGGTGTAAAGCAAAGGCGAGTAAGTGAATCGATTGCGTGATTGAGAGTACGTAATTGGAAAAGGTAGTTATAAATAGAAAGATTAATAGAAAGTAAAAGGTGAAACTAAGTATTAGAGTGAAAGAAACAGACATTGATAATTACAGTAAATGATTGTAAGAACTTATCGATTTATCAAATGATTTGTTTTTGTAATTTTGCGTGTAGAATAATTCTGGGGCATTAACGGAAGGTGGAGTAATAAAAGATTTTAACTTTTTTATTGGCAAATGATGCGATTATTCCTCTTAATAACGGCGATTACTCTAGTAATCCAATCGAGGTCCGCCAATGACGGCTAGGCGAGGGGTGGAGTTGATTTTTCACCCGATCTCGGTGGAAATTAATGAGTTTTCCCAAGAGCGACTTTTGCGTCGGCCAATCCGTATTAAAAAAAGTACTCTACCCTGTTCGAACCGGCTATAAACAATTAGCCCTAAATCAAGTAAAAGAACCCGACGGTTTAGTTTTACCGTCTCTCCGCCATCAATTTGTAAATTAAATTGTGCAATTAAAAACTTTAATAAAATGACTGAAACAGACGAACTAAATTAAAAGTATAAGTCGATTCAAATAGCTATTGTATCTGTCAGCATGGCTAACTGTCCGTTATATCAGTCACAAAGAGTTTTCTCAGATTGATCAAGATTGATCTTCCCGTAGAGTATTATTAATTTATTTATTCAAAAAGAGAGAGAAAGGGGGAGAGAGGGGGAGAGAGAGAGAGAGAGAGAGAGAGAGAGAGAGAGAGAAGAGTTGGAGTGGGAATAAGACTACGGTAAATGAGAAAAGATAGGATGGCAGAGAGAAAGAAACTGAATTATATTTTAGCCCGCAGTGGCCGAGTGATTAACTCGTCCTACTATGTTTTCCGCTAGGTGTTTTTTAGCTAGCCGTTCTGGGTCCGAATCCCAGCACAGCACACAGAAATGTAATTGGTAATTATCTGTTAACGTCATTGTAATGTGGTTTGATCCAACGCCCGAGCAATGTGTTCTTGGACCTTAACCCTTCTGCGACAATAATTGCTTTACGTTTACTTTACTATAACTATTATGAACGTCACAAACTATTTACTTCATTGAAAAATGTGAACAAGAACAAATAAATCTCGAACGTGTAGACAGCAATTAAAATTTAATTTTCTTATGATTATAAAATACGAGAGGCAATAGGGGTATTCACGATATAGGATGTATCTATTATTAATGAAAGTATAAGGACCGGTCAAAACCAACAAAAGAAATGTATTGGTCGGAATTAATTAATGCGTATCTAAGAATAAGAATACGTGTAAACAAAAACAGCTGTTAAATCCATGGCTCCATGTTGGTTACCTACGCCCTAACGGTTAGCAATGTGACTACATTTTCGACCTTACTTTGGATTGAAGTCACGATAGCTCAAGAGGTAACAATAATAAATTAAAACTTTTCGTTATATTAAAGAACGAAAGCATTATGGACATGGATCGTCCGATCCGCCTGCCAGAGGTCATTGGTTTACAAATTATATGCAGTTTAAAAAGAGAGAGAAGAAAATAAAAAAATACAAAATAAAATAAAATACAAAATACAAAAATAAAAAAGTATACCTAAAAATGCAAAATACAAAAAAAAATTCTTGAATCAATTCGTATCTGAAGCTCCAAGCATCTTTAGCATACCGAATCAAGCACCGAGAATTTGAGCCACTCAAGAATTGCAATAGCTCACTTCTTGAGAGTGTTAGTTGTAAGAACCGAATATCAGCTCAAGTGGTAAAGCAGCGGCGTATTTAGCCGAAGGTCGTGGGTTCGAATCTCGCGCGTGACACTGACATTTTGTCTCAACCAATATCTTACATAAAGATTAATTAATTGAAAGAGGGAATTTGGTCTAGCGGACCACGAAATCTAATGGATTTAATAACTAACACCTAATATTGGCTCCGGCCTGTTAGATTGAGCAATGTTAACTAGCCGATTCTTACAAGTCTACGTCATCATATTTCTAGATCTACCAGGACCTAACAGACTTAAAAGGGTTAACACAAATACACCCCTATTATATAAAAACTAGAAAAAGTTTACAAGCTTGAACGCTGATTCGTCCATCAGATTAGGAAATAAAAAATATACAAAATTTAAAAAATCTCTATTTAGCACACAATAAACGGCATTATGCATTACCGTGGTGTTTGAGCGATTATTTTTCAGATGATCGGGTCGAGAAGGACCAATCGAGTACTTACGACTGGGGTCTCAGAAGCAGTTCATAACTCGTGCGGAAATAAGGTCTTTCAATCAAGTCCAACGGCGTGGAATGGATTGTGTTCCACCTGAAGGAGGAACTTGAACAATTTCATGAAGCCGAGCCAGCCCCCCCCCCCACGAGTCCTTTTGTCGTTCATGCAAAACGGAAATGAGCAATGCTATGCTTAGAAGATCGCAATCCATAGTCAAAATGTTGTGCTGAGTTCTAAGTAAATTAGTTTCACAAGAAAACGATTCAGAATTGGAGAATTTGAATGAATATAATTTACCTCTGGTATTGGGTTTTCTTGCAATTTCTAACTGATAAGTGGGAATGACAGAATGGGAATGTATTCCGCCGATTCAAATTAATTGACTGCCTCATTTTAGATAGGTAAATATATTACATAATAACAAATCAAATATAAAATAACATTTTAATTCTAGTAATAAAAATATATCGGAAGGCAAGTTTTTTATACATTTATTATTATACATTTGTAATAAATCATTCCCCAAATTCTATACTTAGACTGTCCCGTGAATTCAGGAGGTTATTATAAATATCCAATTGGACTAAACATTCCTTATTGTACAATATCTGAATCCCAATTTGTATCCGGGATATTTCACTTTTCAAATAACTTCAACATTTCAAAACTTTATACAATGAAGTTCACCATATCTTATAAAATGTTAAGCTTAATATTTTATTAATAAAAATAGCATTATCCACCCTAAGATATTCATCTGTGTTATTTATTTGAAATTTTGAACAATTGCTAAGAAGACACTTTTACGAGTTTCCACAGTTCTTTTTAAATTTTAAGTAAGATTTCTTGGTTCTTGGCACTTACAGAAATATCTACTAAAAATGATTAAATTCATGTACCTTATTTTTCAAAGTTCAGTTATCACTCTTATAAAAAAAATTTATAGACTTTTAATCGACAAAAGTTTGATTTTCTGTTAACAATTCTTTAAAATATTTAGTCATTAACATGTTCAAATTCTATCAAAAATAATTAAAATAATACAAAAAAACAAAAACAAGAAAGACACAGAAAAGATGAAAGCGGAGTGAGTATGTCTATTTAAGTTTTTAAAAGATAAATCATATTCATAGTTCGTTGTTTTCAAGTTGGGCAAGTGAATAATAATTAATATTATTTGACTAGGGATTGCGATCTTCTAAGCAGAGCATTGCTCATTTCCGTTTTGCATACACGAGAAAAGGACCGTGGAGAAATAATTTGATTTCGAAAATGTATCAAAATTTGGGCTCATTTGGAAAAGGAAGCTAATACTACTATACTACTGCCTATCACTGTGGCATTAAACAAAACGATTAAACCTGTTAATTCTGATCGTTAAGAAAAAACTATGGGAGGTTACCGTTTTAACTTTCTTCTTACCATTTCGTTTTTTCGAGAAAACCAATTGTGTCAATTGAAATGGAATATTTGTCATTGATTTACAAAATTGTATTAACGTTACCTTAAATTACAAATTATTAGGAATATAGCAAAAATATATGGTAAAAAAGTAGAATACTCATTATTTCTTGACATTATCTATCAAAGCTCTGAACAATCGACAATCGTGATGTAATATTCAATATCAACATTTTTCACCGATGTGTTCAGTTCACTGGGTTGCACTTTAGAAAAAAATAAATTTTTAACCTAGCTGCAGAGAAGGATGTATGGACAATAATACAAACGGAACATGACGTCCAATCGGACGTGGGGTGCGAGAAAAGTTCCATTGGTACGAGTGAAATTTCCTTTTACGGAATTCTACCTTTTTATATCAGTATAAAACGCGGTCATCATATTTGTAGAAATTTTTCAATGTAACAAGCACATGGTATCGCCGAAAGTAGTTCGGAACAGAGAAACAGTATTATAACGGATGTTACTGCAGGAAGAATGCGATACCAAGTAGAAAACTTCGGATATAGAGTGGAACAAGAGTGAAAACAGTTTGTACGAGCTTTTCTCTATACAACTCCCCCTTCCCTGATAAGTTCTAAAAAAGACATACAAGGTTTCTTTATTTTTATTTCTTGAAAGCTGGGTCGAGTTTCTATGGGTGAGGGGGAATCCGACAGCGAAGGCACGAGTTGAGGCCGAAGCTTAGAGTGTTGCTACCTTCTATTTTCGGGATAATAAATGGTATACCGTTAGAGATAATTCCTCCCTTTTCACTCGTCCAGTAATTGATCGACTTGGGGTACGCCTCTGAATTGCATTCCAGTGTCATTTGTTCGCCTTCCATCGCTCCGACCAACTGGTTCTGGATCCAGATCATCGGCGGGACTGAAAAACGGACGTTTCTTAGAAATACGCTGTTAATGTGGTAGGCGGGAATGTTTGTAATCAACTCACAATGGACTATTAGCATAATTCGTTTGCTCACTGACGGTGGCACGCCGTTCGAAGCGATGCACAAATACGCTCCCATATGCAATCTGTTGACTTTCGTCAAGTTGAACTCAGGCCCTTCAATCGTCGGAACTGTAACAAAAAAAGTTCATTGTCAAACTGACATGTCATTCAAATGACTAAAATATATTAGGTTGGAAACATTAACTTATTTCAGTTGGTGGGCGGACGTACGGCATGACCATGTATGTATAACTTTTTTTTAAATTTCATTAATATTCTGATAGTACGGTTCTTAAACCAATTGGATAATTTTATAAAAAACAAATAATATATTTTCAATATTTTTTAAAATCACTTTACACCACTTGCAGTTCATGGTTATCAAATAGTTACTTTTCAAATCAACAGTAATTTCTTCATTAAAAAATGGTAGATATTACTACATTACATTACTTTGATATTTTCTGTCATTATTATCCAATTTCCATTTCTTACACTCTCGATAACAGATTTTTATAATATTTTTTATGTTAAAAATTAATGTGGTATATAGCTAAATAGTCAGTGTTCAAACTAAGTGCTGCTTATTTCCATCCTGATGGTAAAAATACTGTTCAATATTCTAGTCAATAATTATCCTTTACCTTCGGTCAAAAAATAAATTGATGATAGAACTCAAATGATTGAATAGCGTTTCCAAAAATGAAAAAAAAAAAACGCTATGTAGACGATATTTTATGCATAAGTCGGCAACATTAGAGGATCTCAAAGAATTCCTCCAACTAATTAATTCTCTACACCGTAATATAAATTTTACATTGGAAATTAACAAAGATGGTTGTTTGAACTTTTAAGACCTAAATTGTCCATAATAAACAACCTAATAGAAAAAGACGTATATAGAAAACCCACAACTACAGACACTATGGTGACAGCGGATTTTTCCCACCCAAAAGGCTGCTGGTTCCATTTGGCTCATAGACCGTATGTTAAAACTTCCATTAAACCTGCTAACTAAAATAGCTAACTAAAATAAAAAAGAATTAGAAACTATTAAAACCTTAGCAAAAGACAATGGGTATCTAGAAATATTTATTGATAGGTTGCTAATTAAAAGAATAAAAAATTAACTTTAAAAGAATCAACAATAGGACTCAGCCACCCCACCATAAATGAATCATTAGGTTTCCGTTGTTTGCCATACATTGTTGAATTATCGGAAAAAGTTAGTAAAATTTTTAAACGGGAAGGATTTAGAATAGCTTTTAGAAGTACGGGTCCACTTAAAAACATCCTCTCAAAACCTAAAGACAAGGTAGACAACTTAGCAAAAAGCGGGGTTTACCAACTTAATTGTAATGATTGTGATATTAAATATATAGGACAAAGCGGTAGAGAAATAAAAACGAGAGTAAAAGAACATTTGCCTAAATCGAACAAATTTCCGGAATTTAAGGACCATCTAAAAGAAACAAAACATAATTTCAATTCAAATTTAAATACAACAGAAATTTGAAATTAAAAAATGTAAAATTGAACATGGAGATAAATTAAATAAATATAATAGATTTTGATCTTCCGCTTTCTACCATAATTCCAATTTTAATTGTGTACAGAAATAATATCAAACGTCCAAATATTTAAATTAATCATTTAATTATTATTTTTTTATAATAACTTAATAATATTAAGGTATTATTCTAATTTTTTTTATCTTTTATCTTTAATAACTAATTTATAATTAATTTCTTACAGTATTTACTATTATAATATTTACTTACTCTACTTATAGTATAGTAGTACTCTCATTATAGTAATTACTTACTTACTCCCGCTTTTCGCACGTTCAAATTGAACGCCATTAAAAAACCAGCTTCTCAGTGGAACGTCGCGTTGGCGGGGGTATCGGCGGGTTCACTTTTGCTAAGAGTCGAGAGACGTGGTTGTAGAAATCCTTCAAGCTGATGATGAGCTAAGGAAATCCGATCGAAATCCGGAACGTTGGAAAACAACTTACTGTGAGTAGGAACTATCTTTTTTAAAAAAGGATTGAACACCGCACTCACTCCATCATTCATCATTTCTATAAACAATTACTTATGTAAGTTGAATTTTAAACAAATTGTTATCTTTGGTTAAGAATAGGACGTTTAAATTTGCATGTAAATATAACAACAATCTTAGAAACACGGATTCTCAAAACAGAGTTTCCACCTACCGAACTATGTAGTTATGTTGCCTCAAAACTTTTTGCAGGGATTGTGATAATGCACAAACTAACCACTTACTCGAAGACAGATGTAGAATGACATGAATTTGATTGAAAGGACAAGTATATACAGGGTTTTGCTCTTTCCCAACATTGTTGTGTCATTCAAACACAAAATTGATTTTTAGGAAATGGAGATTGCTAATAAAAACATAACTTAGGGAGGAAGTTAATCAAAGAAATGCTCTGCATAAAAATTTTTAGAACAGGATATCTTACATTTGGGTAGTATTTATAGTTTTATTATTTTTATTTTTTATTTTTTTTATTTTTTATTGCCGGCTAACTGGGTCATCGCCGGCGCCTAACATATAAACCTTCTCGCATTTTCTATTTAGTTATAGTTTTATTCTTACCCAAATTGTCACAGTTGTTATATTGTATTATTTATTTATTAAAAATGGTAATTTATATATTATTGTTTATAAAAATATTAATTGTTAAATTACAAAGTTTTAGTTGTGAATTTTACCGCGATAAAGTTCTATAACCAAAAAAACAGTCACTTAAGGACATTTTGTGAGCCATTGGTGTCGTTGTGTGAAATACGTGGTTACCACTTCCCGGTGGGCTGGGTTGCGTTGACCTACCACGTGTCTAATCATAAAGTTTTTAAAAATAGGATTTCAAAGTAAGTAGGATAATAATCATTATAATTTAATGTATGTAACGTGTAATGAAAAAATGCACTTTATTAAATAGAATAAGTAAAATACAGCTGAAAGCTCGCCAAAAGGTATCACCTCACTCTAAGGAGTATTACACATTTTCACGTAGTGGATCCTTATGTTGTATACAAATATATTTAAGTTAATATGACATAAACACTAAATCTGTACCACCCCATCACCCTTTCTCTCCTCAAAACAGTATCTTTTCAATTATATACTTCTTTATTTTGTCTCTCCCTCTCTATTTCTCTCTCTCGCTCCATTTCTCCATTATAATTATTATTTATCTCTGAATCCGTTTTAGTATATCTCAAATATTATATACACTTTAATAGGTTATGAAGGCTTACGCATAATAAAACACTAATCGTACTATTTGCACATGCTTCTCTTAGTTTTCCTTTCACTTTCTATTAATATATAATATATCTACACTCACACATTCGCACTCTCTTTCACTTTTTTTCCTCTACCACTCTACAAAATAGGTAAATATTCAATAACGCTTTCTAATCAATAACATTTTATAAGTTAACGTGATCAATTAAAAAACACGAAAGAATTAAAACCAATGAATAATATATAGTATCTGAGATCTCAAAAGAAGAGTGAGAAAGCAAATGAGTGGGGGAGAAAGTGAAAGAGAGAGATTGCGAAAAAGATCGGGTTCTTCCTCTTTCTCACTTTCTTTTCACGTTCATTGAACGAGCGGTTTTTGAGACGAAATTTTTCTTAATCAATAAATAAATTATTCATTTATTCTCCCTCTCTCCCTATCATTCTCTCTCTATCTCTATCTCTCTCTTTCCCTCTCTCTTTCTCCCTGTTATCCATCTCTTTCTACCTCCTCCCCATATTTTTTGGCTATATTATTCACGTTTCTTTGTATCTATTTTTATTAGCAATTAAATTCAGCCAGATTGGTTATTTATTAGCAGAGTTTGTAGGAAATTAATAAAGCAGCACGCAAACACCCATCATACTGAAACGAACTAGACATAAAATAATTGGAAAACCTTATCCCCATACTGTTTTGTTACTGTGAGATTGGACACAGATGTAACGTCATATTGGATATCGTTAAGAAAATTGGCGCTCCGAAAGTTTTGACACGAATCGATTTTTCTTCAAGAGATTAGAAAGTATTGAAATAGACGAGAAGTCTAATATTAGGCGTGAGTCCTTTCACGGACATAAGCCTTCAAGATTTATTGCAAGATAATCCGTCAACGTAGGAAGCCGTCTCGCGCTTATAAACTAGCCTATCAATTTTCTCCCAACTAACTCACCCAGGGCGTCACTCTCTGAAACGAGATATTCTTTCTAATCCAGGTGAAATGTAGCCGGAGTAAGCAATACTTGGGCGAATTAATTGAATTAATATCGGTGATTGGTATGATGGTAATGGACGAGGTTAATTAAATCGATTGATTTTTTCTCATCGTGTTGACAGGTTTTAATTTGGAGCTTTCATTCAGCAATCCCTTTTGTACGGACATAGCTAATGTTAGTTTAGGAAAACGGAAGCGACCACATTTCTATCAAACAGATTGAAGTACGCCCAAGATGTGAACTCCCTTGTGCTTTTCCCCACAAGCTCGGCCATTAACGTCCAAAGTACTGATATAACAGACTAAATTATGAGAGAACAACTGGCGCACACAGCCCGTGGTTGTTTGGATTAAACTCTTGTTTTTAAATGAATCATGAGTTACAAGTAAAACCGACGTAAATAAATCTAGAACACAAACACTTTAACCCGTAAGATGGATAATATTATTATATAACACATTGATTCGTCAGTATTAAAAAAATTAATTACTAGTTAATTAGGTTCGATTTTTTTTAAAGTAATACACTATTTGAAAAGTATAAATAAGTCATATTTTTCAATCACACCCAGCGACTGCAATAAAGTGATTGAAACATTGGACCAAAACCATACAAAAATTACATTTGATTTTAATAATATGGAAGCTGTATGTCACGATAGCTTAAGTGGTAGAGCAGGGGCGTTATTAGCCGAAGCTCGTGGGTTCGAATCCCGCTCTTGACACTGACTTTTTTATCTCAACCAAAACCTTAATTAAAGATTAATTAGTTGAAAATAATTTATTTGGTCAATCGGACCACGAAGCCTAATATATGCAATAATATGGAAGATTAGTTTGTAAAATGAATGTCTCTTG